AAAACAAAAGAACCACCAAGGAAAGCAGAAGAAAAAAGATCTGTGATTATCTAGCAAAAACACAGGGTCAAATTTTATGCTCAGAGGTAACAGGAGAAATGAAGTGGAATTCATAGTTTTCATTAACCGATGAAATGAAGCAGAATAAAATTTCAAATAGGACAAGTTTTTCCCATGATAAACTTAGAAAAGGACTTCAAGCATGATTTCTCTGGAGGAAAATGAAGTAATAAAGTGGACGTTGCCTTTAACATCCATTTGATAAGATGGAAGAAATGGTCTTTCAGCAAACCCATATTATACCACCACTGCATCAATGCTATGGGCATCACAACGCTGTCATCCACAGACAGTGACCCTCAGTGGATATTGTCAGGCAGGTGAGGCTTAGTGATCTAATGTGGCAATAGGAGGATTTGAGGACAAGCATCTTGTCATCTCTCTAGTCATTCTGCCTTGAAAGCCCACTGCCAGGAGTTTCAAGCTGGACCTCCCACATGGGCTGGAAAGATGTCAGTTTGAGGCTGAAATTTTTGGTGAAAACTTGGAATGCAAATACATTGTGCTGTTGATTAGGGAAAAAAGCCAGTTGGTTGGACAACACAAGTGAAGCATTTTCATACACTGACTGTATATTATTAAGCTTTAGCCAATGATCCCTTTGATTTTCCTAACACTGGGAATGCAGTGGAGAAGACAAAACAGTGATTGCCTATTAATTGAGTGCATGAAAGTCACGTTTACTCGGTTTATGGCTTTGAGAAATCCAGGCTTATTAGAGCAAAGTGGAATGCAAACGAAGGGACAAGTCTTCAGGCTTAGTTACCACAGACGTAACTGCAACTCCAGATACTGAATCCCTATTATTAAGGGCAAGGTTTGGTGCCACAAGATTAAAATATCATACGGGAGCCCACAATCATCACAAACGAATTGTTAGTGATGAAGATAATGTTGATAATGCCATAATAATAATTACAATCTCTACTTCAATAGCATTTTTACTCAAATCGCTTTTCAGATCTTGTTTAATTTTGGTCTCACTTCAGCTCTTGTAGGGATGTTTGGTTGACTTATACTAAATTCTATTGTTTTCAAACAAATGAAATCCCAAAGCCTTTCATTCACTTTACTTCTCAGCCACAGAATTGTTCTGTGCAAAATGCACCAGGAGCAGAAGGCTGGTCTTTTGAATCACAGGCCATCATAGATCCCTAGAATTTTAAGAACTCAGAGATGCCACTTTAGTCTAAAGTTTTTGATACGTCTCAGTCACTGTGGAATTCTTGTACAAAACTCCTTGGTGATGCAACAAAATGTCATCATAAGTAGGGATCAGAAGAATGGAATTTTTCAACATAATAGAGGGAAGGAAAGAAGCACTTCAATTGGAATAATAGTTAAGAAAGTTTAATAAAAACAGTAATATGATGGGGATTGGACTTAGAAATCTTAGGAGAGCTTTTAAAACAGATCCCTGTGGCAAAAACCAGCATAGACAACATTGTGCAAATATTACAATGGGATTTGGTTTTGTGTACATGTGGATTTTCATAAAGGACTTAAGTAGAACGTACGTAATTATCTTGAATGGGTTTGGCCCACGGACGAAGTTTATTATCACAGGTAAGCTTTGTGAGTTGACACATTTCCTTTCTAACTGCGAGAGGGTGTTGTCAAAGAGCCTGGGCTTTGGGGTCAGGCTGACCTGGCTCCACCACTTACGTCCTGCTTATGTGAACTTGGCGATTATTCTCTAGCCTCAGTTTCCTAATGCATAAAATGGGATGACAGTGTGTATCCAGCAGGCCTTGTGTGAGAATTGAATGAAATCGTGTGAGTAAATGCTTGGCACATTGTCCAACACCTAACAGGTGCTGGATTAATGTTCCTCCAATTCCACTGTGAAGGGAGAACTGTACCCAGTGTGGAGAGTTGTTTGATGACAATGACACTGACAGAGCAGTAGCTCTCCAGAGGATTAGCTGTCCTTCCAACTGCTCCAATGGAAACTCATCTCACTGTCCACTCACACTAGGAGTACGAATTTGGAGTTATTTGTTTATCTTTAGCAGGGTTTTCCATCACTTGGCAAGAAAAATGAGATTAAAATGTGTTTTTTATGCTGTCCTATGTTTTTAAAATCTCAATCCTTTATTTTAGTTAATATTATCTCTAATACTAACATGTATTGGCTCAAAAATTTGTAGCCACTTAGTTTAAGCTTCATGCCCATGTTTATCGGAAAAAAGTTTAAATTCCTACAGAAAATTGTCAAGACGTAAAGTCAATTATAGTAGTAATCTGTCATAAATTTGAAATACATATTTAAATATCAAATAGCTATAATTATTTATTTGATAAAAAATTACAAGAAGAAACTAAAGAATACTTAAATCAATACCAACATGTGGGGTTGAAATATCATGCTTTCAATTAAAAATGTAGTTGACATTTTGTAAATTTTTTTAGAATTCATACTGTTGCATATTAATAAAATATAAGCAAGTGAGGCAATTTCCCTCAAATGTATTACTTGGTCATGCAGATGAGGTATATAAATGGATTAGATGTGTTTGCTTATTTTTTACCTGGTTTCTATTCTACGCTGCATGAAAATGACTTTTACCATAAAATACGCTGTTAATAAGTATTAAAAGGAATGTTTAAAGAAAAAGCCTGCAATGCAATTATTTAAAACATAGGCACTAACCCTGTATACATAAGTACACTATTTAATGGTCAGCTAACTGCTACATTGAGAAAGTTATGCAAATGTGAGATTTATTTTCTCCTGAATAAAATGAAACTGAAAGGATCTAGCTAAGGAAAAGGGACAGCAGCTAAGTATAGCATTTTAACATGCAGAAATTTTTCAAATCATCATTTTATTTTCAATTTCTTTAATACAATGATCAGAAGTATTCTTATAAAGAGCAAAACTTTCTAAGATGAAAATTACATTCTTTAATATATTGACTAAAAGCTACAATTATGTAAATATAATGGATGACTGAAAAATTAGTCATTTTATATAATATGCTTTTTTTTGAGATAGGCAAATTTGCTGGGTTTTTTTAATGATTTTTTTTTTAACGTAGGCTGTTTTTGGTGAAGAAGATTGGCCGTGAGCTAACATCTGTTGCCAATATTCCTCACTTTTTTTTTCTCCCTAAAACCTCAGTACACAGTTGCATATCCTAGTTGTAAGTCCTTCTATTTCTTCTATGTGGGATGATGCCACAGCATTGCTTCTTGAGCAGTGTGTAGGTTCGTGCCCAGGATAGGAACTGGTGAACCCAAGGCCACTGAAGCAGAGCGAGCCAGACCCTATAACATGCTTTTTAAATTGAAAACAAAGTATAAGGTTGGAGAAATATAGTGTCTTACTATCATAATAAGCAAAATACTATTTACTCTAAAAGCAGGATATATATAAAATTAAAATAAGCACATTATGACCTAATTGTATTTACAACATGGAAAAAACCATCAACATTGCTTGCTTACTAATTTACTATAAAAATCAGGAACTTTGCTATTTAGGTAGCACTTCTCAAGAATTTCTTTTACTTTTCTTCTCAATTAAGAAATCTAATTCTTCTTTACTCAAGAAATTGCCCATTGAATCATATAACTCCAACTAACCCAATGAGAGTACGAGGAAAGCATTTGTGTGTCAATTAGAAATCAATTGGAAAGAGTTTTAATATTTATAATTCCAATCACTAGATTCACAGTAATATGTAATCAGCTAACATTCCAGCATCCAAGTGACATGGCTTTATAAACTATGATATTGTGTTACTTGTTTTGACATTATGTCTGCAAGAGATTCTGGAACTGTGACATTTAATGTTACACCAATTATATATATACTTAATTCAGGAAAGAAAACAGTGGAGCTCTAAAACAGTTCAGCAGCATTACGGGATAGATACAAATTTTGGAGGAGACACTGAGAGTCAAAATATGATGTATTCTTCTTCAAGCTTGACTTGCAAATGAAATTCCAAAATAAAATGTGCTTTTGGTGAACATAGTGTAAAGTGAAGCAAAATTCTGATAAGTGCAGTACTTTATAAGATTAATAAGATAGCATTTCTGAAAATAGTCAATAAAATTTTTAATAAGAGTTTGTAAAATACTGCTCATTTGCCTCTAAATTCAAAGATTTATAAACAATTTGGAGGTGCAGCTCTAATACTGCACTACCCAAAAATTTGGAGTGGCTCAAATGTGAAATTGAGATGTTATATAAAACTATACATCAAGTAGAAGAACCTCATTATCTCAGAAGTGGGCATGGGATCCACATTTGAAACTAAAAGGTCAACGTGCTTGTCGATTACATGCAAAAGTGGATTCCCATTAGCAAGTTACCGTGCATCATTTTTTAAAAAAATGAAAAATTTCCTCCTCCTATTTATTTATAAGACAAATAAGCCAATCTGGTGCATCTGAGAAACAGTTAAATAAAGATCTAGATTTCAAAGAGTTACAGAACATGACAAAGTGTGATTTGGCTAAAAGAGCATAAGTTGCAAAATTAACGGGATGGGAAAAGGGAAGTACTTTAGAAAGGACTAGACATTCTCACGTGCAGAGACATCATCTCCACCACCTACCTACCCACCTTGAAAACACGCTCCATGATTATAGGACAAAAGAGATTTTAAAAATTTTGTGTGTTCATGACTGTTAGAAGTCTTGAAATGGTACAGTAAAAATTCATACCACATCTTAGCATGTGGAGAAGGAACAAAGGAAAAGTTGTAGTCCTGGCTGTGCCACTTAACAGCTGTGACTCTGGGCAAGTTATATAACCTCTGGAACCTCTTTTCCCATTGAAAATATGACCAATCAGTACTCGACCATGGTGAGCACTAATTCAGTGGAAGCTTTTCTTCCTTTTACCATGTCCTAGGTTGTTCCACACTGCTCAATGTTTGTGCATCTCTAATGATTGTTTTTAATTGCTATCCAATTTCCCCCCACAGATGGCAGCCTTCCTGCAGCCATTCCCCCCAAGCCCACCATTTTTCTTCCTTCAATTGCTGAAATCAACCTCCATAAGGCTGGAACATATTTGTGTCTTCTTGAGAAATTCTTCCCTGATGTTATCAAGGTATACTGGAAAGAAAAGAATGGGCATACAATTCTGAAATCCCAGCAGGGAAATACCGTGAAGACTAACGACACATACATGAAATTCAGCTGGCTGACCGTGACTGGAAAGTCAATGGATAAAGAACACAGATGTATTGTCCAACATGAGAATAATCAAAGAGGGATTGACCAAGAGATTCTTTTTCCTTCAGTGAACAAAGGTATGTATAAATAAATATAACCTTCCAAAACACTTTTTCTCCAAAGGGAATAGCCCACCTTTTCCATAAAGTATTAATGAAAAACAAATATAAATCTTTCTTAAATGTTGTTCCATTTATTGGCAGAATAAATAGTCCTTTTTCCCCCCATAGAATTAAGATAGTTAGACCTTGGAACATAAAAAAGAAAAAGAAAGATTTTACTTAACTTTTCTCAGCCTCAGTTTCATCAACCGATACTAAGTTCTCAGTGACTTTTTTTAGGGTTGTGGATTAATTAAATGAAACAAGATATCTGAAACGAGCTAACAATTTAGTACACAAGAAATGCTCAAACAGAGAGGCCCCTTTTGATCATCTTACTTGGTCAGGAAATAAGAACAATTATACAACTTTCAAGAATGTTCTACTTAGCAAGCAGAGTCACTCTCACTGTCTTCTTACTGTATTCAGAGTATAACCCAAAAGAATGCTATTAGGTGACAAAGTTGTGCTTATTTGATGCAGTCCAATCACGGCTCAACAAAAAATATAATAATTTTGACATTGCAATTTTATTATGGCCTTAGATTTTCTGCGTTTGTGTCTTATATGCCACTGTAAGGTAGGATTTCATAATTAGAGATTGGGGGAGGCTAATGTGTAAACACTTGCTTCCATTCTACATAATGAATGCATATCTTGCCATCGGTCAATGCGGCTCAATAAACATTTATTGCAGTACTGGCCTGTCCTAGGCCTGGAAGGGATGTATAGTTGAGTACACTGGGATGAATTACTGTCCCTAAGGAGGATGTCCTATTACAAGAGAAGACATTCTTTTATAATCACTTAATGTCTCTGGTGATTGAGGCATGATGTCCCTAAGGAGTCCTGGCAGTGGCCTGGTAATTCAACAGACTCAAGTCTTGAAGTCCAGAGTATAAGCACAGCAGACCAAAGTCTCCGAAGGGCAAATAAGAAGAAATCAGTTTGTACTTTTCCCTGTGGTTAATAAACCCCTTAGAAGCAGTGTGCAACAAATAGAGAACAAAACGTGTGAAGATCTTTTCTGTATACCAGTCCAAATTTATGAAGTCAGTCTTTCTCTTTTTACTTTTTTTTAAAGATTGATACCGGAGCTAACAACTGTTGACAATCTTCTTTTTTTTTTTTTTCCCCTTCCTTCTTCTTCTCCCCAAAGCCCCTCCCCACCCCCAGTACATAGTTGTATATTCTGGTTGTGAGTGCCTCTGGTTGTGCTATGTGGGACGGTGCCTCAGCATGGCCTGATGAGCCGTGCCATGTCCACGCCCAGGATCAGAACCAGCGAAACCCTGGGCCACAGAAAGGGAGCATGTGAACTTAAGCACTTGGCCACAGGGCCGGCCTCAGAAGTCAATCATTACCTTCTCTGCTTCATTGTTTCTTCAATGATCAAATTAGCTTCAAACTCTTGCCTTGGCTTTCTCCTGGGGCCATGATGAAAAGCAATTGCAATAGTGCCAATGAAAAGATTTGCTTTTGAAAACACAATGGTGATGTGCTTATTTATGCGTTGATTGTAATTTTTAATATCCTTTCCTAAAACTGACTCAAGTAAGATTTAAAAAACAGCCCTAATTTTCTATTTCTATAGCTAAGAACACAGGGGAAACAATCTATGCAAAGCACGTTTAATATAGCCACTGCTTTGAAGTGTCCTTTTAGGTTGTGATTTTTCTAGTGATCAGGGAAAAATGAAAAGTACGGTAAGCTGCCTGGTGATGATTATCATAGAGAAGTTTCAGTTCATAATGTGTTTTACTTGGCGTCTAATTTGTGAAACAAAAGTCTCCATGGGCTTCTCAGGGCAACAAAGCTAATGAGGACATCTCTGTTAACGTCAGCTTACAGCAAATTTCTAATACTGTTTCTTGGTAGTATCTTGTTTTTGATAAAGACTAAGAATATAACATCGAACCAGAAGTCATTGAAGTGATTCTGAAGGGATAAAACTAATCAGGTCCAAGTTTTTGACCAACCCTGATTGAGAGAGAGAGCTTAGCATACATACACAGATTTATAATGAAAAACCGTTACTTTTTTGTTTTTTCCTCAAGCAATGCATGGTAATAAAAGAGTTTTATTTATCTTTTAATGAAAAAGTCACTGTTAAGGAAAAGAAAGAGCCTTGTAAGACACATTAAAGTCAGTTTTGAAGATATTTTAACATCGATACATGATTATGCTAACATTCTCATTATCGGAATTTATTCCAAATGTTACACCTCAAACCCAGTGTTTTAGCCATCAAAAATATGAGTTCATTGAAGGCGTAAAACTGCATTCAGTACCAGATCTAAATGTACAAGAATACATGTAGTAGAAGGATAAACCAAAACAATGCTTTTGACTCTGTTTTCTTCCATTCAACAGTCAATTATCTTTTAAAAAACTTTTATCTCTGTATGTTTGGTGACATCTTATTCTTTTTCTTTTTTTTAACATTACAGAGAAATATCACCTTAGGTTGTATATATTCAGAGTACTAAATGCTGAGCTCCTGTGATGAAAATATCATTTGCTAAGAACATTTAACACATCTGAAAGAGAAGATTTTCTAGTGTCCACAATGATGGAATTATGGTGTTTCTCTATAGAATATTTTTGAGTTCTATGGGTTATTTTTACAAAGTGCTTTGCACATGCTCCATCTCATTGAATCTGCCACAACAATCCTTTGAATGCTGGCTCTGCCATCACTGATATGACTCTCGGCAAGTTGCTTATATCCAGACCTTATTTCCTCATTTGTAACAAGGAGTCCTTCATACAACTCATGTCAGTGTGACTGGAGCATTAAACGAGATAATGCACGTGAAGCATTTAACATAGTGCCTGGCACAGTAAGAATTACTCAGTAGCTATTAGCTTTATTCATATTGTTACCATGTCCACAACTCTAGGCAATCATGTGCTTGGGTTGGGGATACGAGGATGTGCACAGTTAGGAAAGCCCTACGTGCTCTGCTTTCCTTCTATTGGAAGTTTGCCTAAACCATATACGTTCAAACATGAGATTCTGTTGTGGATTCTCAGAGTTGATGAATTGATCGTGGTGGCAACTCTTCATGTCAGCAGCGTGTGCTGAAGACTGTAGAGTAGCCACATTTTCCGTTTCTTTTTCCATTAGACAAGTGTTTCGGCACCACTTCCTTTGTGACAGGCACTGTCCTAGTAGCTGTGAATACAGAGGGACAATAATATAGTCTTGGATATTACCGTCCAGGTGTGATAAATATGGAAAAATGTTTTCTTTATGAAGGTCAACATGCAGAAAGACAGCTTATGAATTAGATTTACTGAATTACATAGATTCACATGAACCAGTGCTGGAATTGTAGGGCTCATCATTTTAAGGACAGTCTCACTGTCAGCGGATTATGTGTTTGTGTGTGTGTGTGTCTGTGTGTCCATACACACACACTCATATAAACACATGCCCACACTATCGAGCAATGGGCATGAACGATTGACTAATCTTGCTCTCATTTCTTCTAGTTGTCCCCTCAATGGCCACTACTGTTGGTTCTACAACGGCTTATACGACAGAACAAAGCAGTAAGTCACTGTCTATGTCTGACACTCTGTCATACTGTAGGATATTTTCCCCTCCTAATCAACTTAACTTTTGTACTTCTCTGGTTTAGGATATAAAAGACCAATTATTGCTGGAATTGTGGGGCTCATAACTTTCTTGGTTTTAGTGACTGTCTCCTGTCTGTCTGTAGATTATATATACATACATATATAAGTACTTACGTACAGACACTGTCAAATAATGGGCCTGGACAATAGTCTAACACTTTCTCTCATTTCTTCCAGCTGTCACTCCTATTGCATCTACAACAGCTTCCCCAACAGAGCAAACTGGTAAGTTTTTTTCTCTGCTTGCCTGCATGTCATGCTATGGCATTTTTTCCCTCTTCATCAAATTACATTTTGAACCTCACTGGTTTATAGCAGACAACAGTAATTATCCCTGGAATTATAGGGCGCATATTTTTGATGAGTATCTCTCCTGTGGCTCTGTTGGCCGATTTTACATATATATGTGTATATATATATATACACAGAGAGAGAGAGCCATTTTAAATATGTATAAATAGATAAATCTAAATGTATATAGGTACACACAAGCAGAAACACACACACATGCATACACACATACTCATATATTTCAACTCTCGACTTATAGGTACACACAGTAGACTAATACATCTCTCATTTCTTCTATAGGTGACTGCTATTTATTCTACAAAATCTTATCTAAAAGATGAAAACCATTAATTTTGTATATGTTTCCCATTATTTCATGAGATAGCATTTGTGTCATCTGGATCAACTTAAGTTTTGAACTTCCCTATCTTAAGATAGAAATACTAGAATGGCTGGATTTTGTAGAGAATACCAAGTGATATTGCAAATCGATCCATCATTTCCTGGAGTCGTCTTAACACAGTCAGTGCTGGTTTGGGATGAGACGACTGTAAATTAGAGGGTGCCGTGATAGGCTCTGAATTATTTCCACAGTGGGCTTCCAGCATTTGTGTGGCTTTTGTTTCTAACGACTGAGGAACACATGATATCAAGGTGTTTCCAGATCTTTTTGTCTTTGGTCTTTGATAGTAGCTAACAACACAAACTGATACGTGCTGAGAGCTTCCTATACAGAAGGCGTTGTGCTGGGTCTTGCATGCATTTTTTCGTCTAATTCTTATAATATCCCTAGGAAGTGATGCAATATATTTTCCCCATTTTATGGATGAGCACAATGAGTTAAAATTAACGACACTCCCTGCCACTTACCACACAGCTGGATCTGGGGATTCAACCCAGCCATCTGAATCACGACTTCATACACCTACTCAGTTCTTTCTTCTTCCTCTGCCATATGGTCCTAGAGCAGCAAACCCCAAACCCAAGGCCCCGAGACACGATGGACTCAAGGAGGGGGATGGGTAATTACACCGGCTTCACAGTATCACAGATTGGACTTGAACCCCAGTTCTTTTAATGATTTGTTGCATCAATATAGGAAAATTACATTTCCTGAGCAGGACTTTTCATACCTACCGAACAGGATAATTACACCTAACTCAGTTACTGATGAGATAAGTTCACCTATGTGGATTGATTTGCGTAGGCTATCTCATTGAGGTGGCACTGAAGCAGCACTAGCTTATGGCCCTTTTCCCCTATATGTGTACCAAGAAAGTGACTAGAAGCATTGGCTCTAGCCCTGCTGATCTTTCCTCCGTTTGCAATATCAGGAGGGCTCTGGACCTCAGCTAACACTTTCCCTAACCAAGGGCGAGGAGTTGTGAGCACATCACCTTTGAGATCCCTTTGCACAACAGATGCTAATGATTCTGGAGTTCTGACTGTTTGAAGATAAAGCATGTAAAAGGGAAATTTTCTCCGGACGAAACACAGTCCTGTGGTTCACTTAATAACTACTCTGACTCATCAAATGTTAAGTAATTAAACAAATAGAAATCTTTCTTAAAAGATTTTCCATTTATTGGTAGCATAAATGTCGCTCTATTTACCCATAGAGTTAATATATTATAGGCTTTGAACATAACAAAGAAAAAGAAAAATTACAGTTTACTTAACTTTTCAGAGCAGAGATAAATCTCCCAACATATTAAGGCCACAGTGGTGCTTTTTAGGGTTGGTGTATGAATTAAATGAAACAGGATGCGTGAAAGCACCTAGCACTCAGCACACTCGCAATGCTCAAAAAGAGGTTCCACTTGGGATGATCTTAGTTAATCAGGATATAACAACAATTATACATTTTACAGGAATGTTCTTCTCAGCAAGCAGAGTCAGTCTGCCTTTCATCTTGCTATACACAGAGTGCAACCCCCAAACAATGCTATTAGGTGACCACATGGTGTTCATTGGGGGGAACCAGATGGTAACTGAACAGAAAGTCAGATAATTTTGCCACTGCAGTTTTAGAATGGTCTTAGGTATTCCAGGTTTGTATTTTTTTTAACCAGCGCAAGGTAAAATTTCATAACTAAAGATTGGGTAACACTACTGTGTACACACATACTTCTGTTCTGCTTAATGAATCTATTTCTTGCCATTGGTAAAGGCAGCTCAACAAATTATTCCAGAACTGGCCTGTGCCAGGCCTGGAAGGGATGTGTGGACGAGGACACTAGGAAGAATTACCATCCTAAGGAGGATGTATTACTGTAAGAGAATAGATTCTCCTCTTAATAACTCAGGGTCACTGGTGATTCAGGCATGATGTCTCAAAGGAGTCCCTTTGATGCAGATGCTGCACATATTTAGACAGTGTGGGCAGAGGGCTGAACGTTTCTTGGTCTTGGCAGTCTTCCGCTAACAGTCTAGACTTTGGACTTAAAGTCCTGAGTATGAACACAACAGACCAAAGCCCCCGGGCACATATAAATAAGAGGGAATCATACTGTTGTCGCATCCACAGACCCCAGAACTCCAGAAAATCTTGGGCGTGAGTTGGGGATGTTGGGATATGCATGCTCTGGAAAGGGGTATGTGAGTCATTTGCTCTCATGGGAAAGGTGCCTAAAACAGACACCTTCAAATGTGACATTCTGTTGTGGATTCTGAGAGTTAGCTAATTGATTTTGGTAGCAACTCTTCATGTCAGGAGCGTGTGCTGAAGACCGTAGAGTAGCCACATTTTCTGTTTCTTTTTCCATTAGGCAAGTATTTCCCCATCACTTCCTTTGTGACAGGCACTGTCCTTGTAGCTGTGAATACAGAAGGACAACAATATAGACTTGGATATTACCGTCCAGGTGTGATAAATATGGAACAATGTTTTCTTCATGAAGGTCAACATGCAGAAAGACAGCTTATCAATTAGATCTATTGAATTACGTAGATTCACATGAACCAGTCCTGGAATTGTAGGGCTCATCATTTTAAGGACAGTCTCACTGTCAGCGGATTATGTATGTGTGTGTGTGTGTGTGTGTGTGTTTGTTTGCGTGTGTGTGTGTGCATACACACACTCATATAAACACATGCCCACACTATCGAGCAATGGGCATGAACAATTGAATAATCTTGCTCTCATTTCTTCTAGTTGTCACCTCAATGGCCACTACTGTTGGTTCTACAACGGCTTATACGACAGAACAAAGCAGTAAGTCACTGTCTATGTCTGCCACTCTGTCATACTGTAGGATTTTTTCCCCTCCTAATCAACTTAACTTTTGTACTTCTCTGGTTTAGGATATAAAAGACCAATTATTGCTGGAATTGTGGGGCTCATAACTTTCATGGTTTTAGTGACTGTCTCCTGTCTGTCTGTAGATTATATATACATACATATATTCGTACTTACGTACAGACACTGTCAAATAATGGGCCTGGACAATCGTCTAACACTTTCTCTCATTTCTTCCAGCTGTCACTACTATTGCACCTACAACAGCTTCCCCAACAGAGCAAACTGGTAAGTTTTTTTCTCTGCTTGCCTTCATGTCATGCTATGGTATTTTTTTCCCTCTTCATCAAATTACATTTTGAACCTCACTAGTTTATAGCAGACAACACTAATTATCCCTGGAATTGTAGGGTGCATATTTTTGATGAGTATCTCTCCTGTGGCTCTGTTGGCAGATTATATATATATATATAGAGAGAGAGAGAGAGATAATATAATATTTATATTATACATATAAATATGTATAAATAGATAAATCTAAATGTATATAGGTACACACAAACAGAAACACACACACATGCATACATACATACTCATATATTTCAACTCTCGACTTATAGGTACGCACAGTAGACTAATACATCTCTCATTTCTTCTATAGGTGACTGCTGTTTGTTCTACAAAATCTTACCTAAAAGATGAAAGCCATTTATCTTGTGTATGTTGGCCATTATTTCACGAGATAGCATTTTTGTCATCCTGAGAAACTTAACTTTTGAACTTCCCTATCTTAAGATAGAAATAGTAGAATGGCTGGATTTTGTAGAGAATACCAAGTGATATTGCAAATCGATCCATCATTTCCTGGAGTCGTCTTAACACAGTCAGTGCTGGTTTGGGATGAGACGACTGTAAATTAGAGGGTGCCGTGATAGGCTCTGGATTATTTCCACAGTGGGCTTCCAGCATTTGTGTGGCTTTTGTTTCTAACGACTGAGGAACACATGATATCAAGGTGTTTCCAGATCTTTTTGTCTTTGGTCTTTGATAGTAGCTAACAACACAAACTGATACGTGCTGAGAGCTTCCTATACAGAAGGTGTTGTGCTGGGTCTTGCAAGCATTTTTTTTTGTCTAATTCTTATAATATCCCTAGGAAGTGATGCAATATATTTTCCCCATTTTATGGATGAGCACAATGAGTTAAAATTAACGACACTCCCTGCCACTTACCACACAGCTGGATCTGGGGATTCAACCCAGCCATCTGAATCACGACTTCATCCACCTGCTCAGTTCTTTCTTCTTCCTCTGCCATATGGTCCTAGAGCAGCAAACCCCAAACCCAAGGCCCCGAGACACGATGGACTCAAGGAGGGGGATGGGTAATTGCACGGGCTTCACAGTATCACAGATTGGACTTGAACCCCAGTTCTTTTAATGATTTGTTGCATCAATATAGGAAAATTACATTTCCTGAGCAGGACTTTTCATACCTACCAATCAGGATAATTACACCTAACTCAGTTACTGATGAGATAAGTTCACCTATGTGGATTGATTTGCGTAGGCTATCTCATTGAGGTGGCACTGAAGCAGCACTAGCTTATGGCCCTTTCTCCCTATATCTGTACCAAGAAAGTGACTAGAAGCATTGGCTCTAGCCCTGCTGATCTTTCCTCCGTTTGCAATATCAGGAGGGCTCTGGACCTCAGCTAACACTTTCCCTAACCAAGGGCAAGGAGTTGTGAGCACATCACCTTTGAGATCCCTTTGCACAACAGATGCTAATGATTCTGGAGTTCTGACTGTTTGAAGATAAAGCATGTAAAAGGGAAATTTTCTCCTCAGAAGAGACTCAGTCTTGTTCACTGAATAATTAGTCTGGCTCACCATCATTACCATTAATTAAACAAATGCAAGTCTTTCTTAAATGTTTCTCCATTTATTGTTATCATAAATGTCTTTCTATTTCCCCATACAATTAAAATAGTATAGATTTCGAGCATAACAGAGAAAAAGAAAAAGTAAAATTTACTTAACCTTTCAAAGACTGAGATTCATCCTGCAAAATATTAAGGTCACAGTGGAGTTTTTTAGGGTGGTTGTACGGATTAAATGAAACAAGATATGCGACCGCACCTAGCACTTGGCACGCAAGAAATGCTCAGAATGAGATTCCACTTTGGATGATCTTAGTTGATCAGGAAATAAGAACAATTATACGTCTTCCAGGAATGTGCTAATCAGCAAGAAAAGTCGCTCTAACTTTCATCTTGCCATACACAAAGTATAACCCAAAAACAATGCCGTTAGGTTACAAAATGATGTACATATGAGGGAGCCAGATGGCAGCTTGACCAAAAGTCAAATAATTATGCCTGTAAATTTTTTATCTTCTTAGATTTTCCAGGTTTGTATTTTACCTAACAACGCACGGTAAAATGTCATAATTAAAGATTGGGTGAGGCTAACATGTACACACATACTTTCATTCTACATAATGAATGCGTTTCTTGGTAAATAGAGCACAACAAATGTTTATTGCAGAACTGGCCTGTGTCATGCCTGGGAGGGATGTGTGGATGAGTACACTGTGATGAATTACCGTGCCATGGAGGATCTGTTTTAAGAGAATAGATTCTCTTCCTAATCACACAAAGTCACTGGTGATTCAGGCATGATGTCCCAAAGGAGTCCCTTTGTTGCAGATTCTGTATAATTCAGACAGTGTGGGCAGAGGGCTCAATGTGCCGTGGTCCTGCATTTGGTTCTGTAACTGTCTAGATTCAGGACTTAAGTTCTGAGTATGAACACAACAGACCAAAGGCCACAGAGCACCTATAAACAAGGAGAAATTGAGTTATACATTGCCTGTGGTTAACAAGCCCTTTTGAAGCTGTAGGGAGCAAGCACATAACAAATTCTGTGAAGACCTTTGCTGCGTACCAGTCTGAAGTAGGAAGGCAGTCTTTATCTTCTCGGATCCTCAGTTTCACCAGTGAAATTAGGTAGGAAAACTTGCCTTGGCTTTCTCCTGGGGCTGTGACGAAAAGCAAATGAAATATTTTCAGTAAAGACACTTGCTTATGAAAATGCTACATAGACGTATTTACTTATGTATTTATTGTATTTTTAATTACCTTTCCTAAAACTCTCTAAGGAGACATTAAAACAACAGCTCTAATTTAGTATTTCTATAGCTAAGAAGTAGAGGGGAAGCGATGTATGCAAAGCACAAATTTAGTATAACCACTGGGCTGAAGTGTCCTGTTAAGTTGTGATTTTTCCAGTGATCAGGGAAAAATAAGTATAGTAAGTTCCATGGTGATGATCATCATAGAGAAGTTCAGTTGGTCATGTGTTTTATGTGGCACCTAATTTCTGAAACAAATGTCTGCATGGGCTTCTCAGGGCAAGACAGCTAATAAGCACATTTCTGTTGATGTCGTTCTACAGTTCATTTATAAAGCTGTTTCTTGAAAGTTTCTTTGTTTTTGATAAAAGCTTAGAATGTTGCTTGAAAGGACAAATCAATGAAGTGTCTTTGAAGAAGATAAAACTAGTCTGGTACAAGTTTTTGACCAAGCTTGGTTGAGGAAGAGCACTTAGGATGCATACACAAATTTTATTATGAAAAGTGTTTACTTTATTGTTTTTACTTCAATCAGTGGATGGTAATAAGAGAGTTTGATTTATCTTTTGATGAGTAAGTCATTGTTAAGGAAAAGAAAGAGACTCTTAAGAAATGTTAAAGTCAGTTCTTGAAGATATTTTAGCTTTTAAATATGATTATGCTATCATTTCATTCTTGGAATTTATTCCAAATCTTATATCTCATGTCCAGTTTTAACGCCATCAGAAAGAGGTTTCATTGGGCGCATAAAATTTCATACCAGAATGACATCCATATGAACAGGAACACATCTTGTGGAAAAAGCATAAACTAAAACAATGGTTTCAAATCAGTTTTCATCCATGAAATAGTCTTTAAAAAAATTACCTTTATACGTCTTCCTTCTTTTTTTTGACATTGTATATAAGTCTCACCTCATGTGTATATTATGAGAAGTATAAATGTGACTTGACCTGTCTTTCTATGTTTGGAAAGAATTGCACTGAAATGCTTAGCTCCTGTAGTAAGAAATTCATTTGCTAAGAATATGTAACATATCTGGAGAGAAGAAAATGTTTGTATTGTCCGCATTTGGAATTATTTTGTTTCTCTATAAATAATTTTTCTATTTCTATGGGTTATTTTTACAAAGTACTTTCCACATGATCTATCTCACTGATCTGCTACAAGGATCCTTTGAATGCTGGGTCTGCCATCACTGGTATGACTCTTGACAAGTTACTTATACTCTCAACCTTGTTTCATCATTTGCAACAAGGACTCCTCCAAACTACAACTCACTTCAGTGTGACTGGAGCATCAAATGACACAACGCATGTGGAGCATTTAACATAGTGCCTGGCACAGTAATAATCACTATTAGCTTTTATTCATATTGGCGTCACGTCCAAAACAGCACTACTCGAGAAAATCACGTGCCTGAGTTGGGGATGCAGTGATGTGCACAATTTAGAAACGTGTGCATGCTTGCTTTGCTTTGTGAGAAATTTGCCAAAATTATATTCCTTCAAACATGAGATATAGTTGTGGATTCTGAGAGCTGGTGAATTGATTTTGGTAGCTACTCTTCACGTCAGCAGTACGTGCTGAAGACTAGAGTAGCGACATTTTCCATTTATTTTTCTGTTTGACAAGTGTTTTCCCATCCACTCGTTTGTGGCAGGTGCTGTGCCAGGAGCTGTGAATACAGAAGGAAAGCAAGACAGTCTTGAGTATAACCATTCAGTTGTGACAAAGGAAAACAAAATGTATCTTTTATAAAGGTCAAGATTTTCCTGTGCACAAACACAATACATGAATTAGATCCACTGAACTACAGAGAATCAGATGACCTATGCCTGGAATTGTAGGGTTCATACTTTAAAGGACAGTCTCACTCTCAGCGGATTATGTGTGTGTGTGTGTGTGTGTGTGTGCGTACACACATACTCATATAAACACATACACACACTATGGAGCAATGGGAATGGATAATTGACTAATCTTGCTCTCATTTCTTCTAGTTGTCACCTCAAGGGCGACCACTATCGGTTCCACAAAGGCTTACACGACAGAGGAAAGCAGTAAGCCAATGTCTATATTTGCCTCTCTGTCATGCTATAGGTTTTTTTCTGTCCTCATTAACTTAACTTTTATAATTCTCGGGCTTAAAATACGAAAGACAAATTATTCTTAGAAATGTGGGGCTCATAATTTCATATTTTTAGCGACTTTCTCTCCTGTGTCTCAGTAAATTATATATATATACACACATATGTATATGTATATATACATTTATACACACACACTGTCAGATTATGGGCATGCACAATTGACTAATACTTGCTCTCATTCCTTCTAGAGGTCACTGCTGTTTTTTCTGCAAAAGATTTCTCAAAAGAGGAAAGTGGTAAGTTTTTGTTTGTTTTCCTCCATATCATGCTGTAGCATTTTTTTCACTACTAATCAAATTATCTTTGTAACTCCCCTTCTACTTAGTTGAGAAGACCAATTATTCCTGAAATTGTGGGTCTCATATTTTTATGAATTTATTCCCAGTCTGTTGGCAGATTTTACATATATGTGTGTATATGTGTATATATATGTATACAGACACACATGCAAATACATATATATCACACTGTTAAATCATAGGCATGAAGAATTGACTACAACTTGTTCTTATTTCTTCTAGAGGTCCCTGCTATCAACTCCACAAAAGCTTGTTGGAATGGTGAAAGCAGTAAGTTTTTGTATATGTTTGTCTTTATGTCTTGCTGTAGCATTTTTTTCTTCTTGATAAACTTCACTTTGAAGGTAGAAAAACAAGAAAGGCTGGATGTTGCAGAACAGACAGAGTGATATTTTAAATCAATGCATCACTTCCTAGGAGTCATCTAAACACAGTAAATGCTGGTTTAGGGATGAGATGACTGCAAATTAGAGTTCAGTGACAGGCTCTGAATTATGTCAACAATGGACTTCATTCATTTGTGTGGCTTTCGTCTGTAATGACTGAGGGATACATGATAATAAGCTGCATCTAGAATTTTCTTTTTTAAGTCTCTGGTCCTTCCCAGCACCTAAAAACAGGAACTAAGGATACTGAAAGCTTCATATACAGAAGGCTTAGTGCTGGGTTTTGCATGCATTTTCTTGTTTAATTCTCATAATACTCTCATGAAGTCGTAGAACATGTTTTCCCCTTTTACAGATAAGGGCAATCAGCTAAAATTAATAAGTACCTGGCACCATGCCACACAGCTAGATCAGGAGTTTCACACCAGCCATCTGAATCCAGAGTTCATACACTTACTCAGTTCTTTCTTCTTCCTCTAAGATACAGTCCTAGAACAAGAAACTTAAAGCCAAGTACCTGAGACAGGATGGACACATGGTGGGGGGTGGCTCAGTGCACAGGATTCACAGTATCACACACTGGACTTGATCCCAGTTCTTTTAATGATTACTTGCATCCATATAGGAAAATTACTTATATTTTCTGAGCAGCGCTTTTCTCATCAGCTAACCAGGAATAATTACACCTAACTCAGTTATTGAAGAGATAATATCATCTATGTGGAATGTCCAGCATAGGGTATCTCATTTAGCTGGCACAGAAGCAGTGCTGATTTATGGCCCTTTCTCTCTACGTATGTACAAAGAAAGTGACTAGAAGCATTGGCTCTAGCCCTGCTGATCTTCCCTTCTTTCCCACATCAAGGGGGCTCTGGCCCTCTGCTAACACCTCACCTGAACAAGGGCAAGCTGTTATGAGCACATCACCTCTGAAATCTCTTTCCACAAGAAGTACTAATGATGCTGGAGTTTTGAATCTACGAAGATACAACATGAAAAAGGGGAATTCCACAGGAAGAGACTCTGCCTTGTGGTTCATTGAATAGACAGTCTGGTTCACTATCATTGTTGTTATTTCTTGACTTCACTTATTTCTTGAAAAACTTCAAAGGGTATTAAGTGCAAATATCCTATAACACCATAGCCACAATGAGGGACATTTAGGAAGGACAGGTGAGTGGGCCACGATTTCCTAAAGTTTCAGAGAATTTGGATTAACTGCTTTCTCCATGTTACATAATACCCTCTTTACTCAACCTCCCGCCCACCCCACTGTGAACGCCACCAAATTTCCATGGATTGTATTCTTGATAGGAATCTCAATGTATACACAACGTGTATTGACTCAGTTGTGTCTAAATCAGAGTCTCACTTTATATTTATGCATAACCTTTTGATGTCTGAGGCATTTCTTGCATTCGGAGATGCAGAATGACAGAATGGCTAAGAATGTGTTCTTTAAAGTCATGGAACTGGGGTGAAATTTTGGCTTCTGTTACTTACTAAATGCATGTCATGAGGCAAATTACCTCTCTCCATCATCAAATTGTTTGTGAAATGGGAATGAAAATAATGGTATCATAGGTTATTATAAAAATTAAATAAGATTAAAGCTTTGCATGCAAAGCTCTCAGAATGAGTGTTTGGCACTTGCTTAGTAGTTAAGGAATATTAGCTATTATTATGGCTTTGAGACTTGGTGGGGTGAAGAAATGCTAAAAGCTATTTATCACAAATACTTTTCTCCCATTGGATTCATTCATTAAATATGCAACCTCACTTTTTTATTATGGAATATTCTAAGTGAATTTAGCAGAGGTTGTTGATCGACATAACTTGTCAACTGTATTCCGAGTCATCTTATTGTTGTTGTTGTTGTTGCTGTTGTTGTTAGTGGGGGTAGGGTACCTGTTTACTCTTGGGTTTGATAGTGCAGCGTGTCAAGGCAATGTAGGTCGTTAGAAATAAAGAACTGTGACCACCTTCCAATTCATATGTCCCATCCTTTCAAAAGGACAGGTGAATCTAATCATATGACTTCTCTTAGACGCCCTGCAGCTGCAGCTCAGCAGCACTTTGGCCTGTTACGCCTACCTCCTCCTCCTCATCATGAGCGTGGTCTACTCTGCCATCATGGCCTTCTGTCTGTTGAGGAGAGCAGCAGTCTGTGGCAACGGAAAGAGTTTGTAACAGCTGGTGGCACAAAGAAGGCAACTTTCCTCCATTGTTTATTTTCCCTAAAACTGTCTGCCAAGGATCTATTTGGGGTTTCTCTCTTTGTATGGGTTATTTCAGTTCATGGGGTATTTTTCTGTTATATCAACGTTAGAAAATAGTTTTCTAAACCACTGGGCAACCAGAAAATCTTATTCTGTAACAACGAGTTCTGCCATTTCTCAGGGGCAGGGCCACAGGGTCGTCTTTCAGCATCACACTCTCCAGCATCTCCATCAGCTCCTCCAGGACTCAAATAATCATGCCTTCTGAGTACAGACAACATGCAGCTCTAGTTATGTCCCTTAGGGCCATTAAACCAGATGACCTCCTTGAAGCCTTCCATTTTACACATCCTTAAGCTACCATTGTTGTTTCTTGAAAAGTCTGTACATTGTTTTTCATAATAGGCACAATAAAAGAAATCAAGAGTCTACTTTTGTCTATGTGTCCTTTGATTTGGTGAAATCTAACTGAAAGTCCGAGGTAAGAAACAGCATGACACCTGAGCAAACAAGTCCAACGTTGGCTGTGATGATAGTCAATACTACAGTTCTAATTCTTTCCCTGAGACAGTGGTCATGGTGCTGTCTTTGGGGCATTTGCTCCAAGAGGAGCCACAGTCAAATGAAGGCACCCAGGTTTCTTCTCTTTCAAGGATCACCAGATTCACACTCATTTGGTTTGGGACATTCCGATGGGGTCACCATAATGTCTAGCACGACTTGCACTGTGTGTGCTCAGCTCTACACTAGTGTTTCCCAAGGACTGTGTTTCCTGCTCCTCACAATAACCACATGAGACCTGCGGTCACACCAAGAGGTATCGCAGTGGAGGGATTAAGCCACTGGACTCTGAGCCCTGAGTGCCTGTGTTTGAATCCTGGGTCTGGCATTAGCATCTGTGACCTCAGGGAAGCCTTTTGGACTCTCTGCATCTGTCCCTCCTCATCTGTAGAATGGAGTTACAGCACCCTGTCTCCTGGATTAAGTGTATTAATAATACCTCGCACTTGCAAGTCCTCAACAGCATTAGTGTCCACTGTTGGCAGTTCTACTTTTGAATAATAGATCACACGCATACACAAAAATACTGACAGTCATCTGTAATATTTTTCCCCTTGTAAAAGTTTGCTGTGGGCAGAATAGGGGCTCTGAATTTCAACTATGCAGTGGGAACCTCATTATTACTCTAATAGCCTCTGGAGGTAGGTGCGAATATGGTCCACAGTGTAATATTGGAGAAATTAAGTTCTATGCTCAAGGTCACTACTTTTAAGTAGTAATTAAGTAAGTAATTGTCATTTAAAGCCAGGTCTCTCTGAACTCAGAGCCAATATTTTCTTACCTACTATCAGGTGCCTTTCCCTTCAAGCACTGTCAACTGGGAAAAACAAAACAAAGCAAAACATACACTGCTTGTTTACTAAAGCCATCCTCCAAGGAGTCAGTGAGAATTTTCTTAAGGAGTTGTGAGTGCGTCTGTGTTTTCATCACGTGTATATACTCTGTTCTTAACATAATTACTTCCTTTGTTGTCAACACTATGGAAATCCTACTTTATTGTGTGAGTGTGTGCCCTAGATTTGCAACTGCTCTTTTGGGAGCTGCTAATGAAATGGACTGAGAGTCTGTGGCAGAGCAGGCCCATTGCTGGTGCTCTCTGGGTGGACCATTCTGACACCCCATCTCATCCTCTAGAGTGAATGGGCCTGGAGGTCCTCAGAATCACCTGTGGAAACCTCTGATGGCTTCAGGTGCAATTCTGAGGAATGAGGCTGTTTATACAGCCCTTTTTCTCCAGTACTTTTCCACCACAACAGGACTGCCACATGGTGTGGTGGGTGAAACACTAGCCTAGAGGTCATATCTCACATGCCATAGGTAGAGTCTGAGCTCCTTTCTCTGCCTCTAACTAGCTGTGTCTTTTGTTCTTGACCGTGTCACATTGCCTAAGTTATCCAGCTTTAGAAGGGTGTGATCAAATAAAATAATATGAGGTGTCTAGTGCAATTTACAAGGCCAATGTTTAACCTCCAAGGAAAGCAATAGCAGCAAATGCTGGTATTGTGCTTACTGGTACTGGTCTAAATACATGTTAGCTTATTTAAGTCTCACAAAAAACCTGTGATATCTGTACAATTATCTCTATTTTATACATTGGGGAAGCAAGCAGAGAGGGGATAAAGAATGTCCCCATAGTTAGCCAGCTAATAAGAAACAGAGGTGAGATTTGAACCCCAGAAGCCTGGCTGTAGGAGTTCTGCTCTTAACCTAGCTGTTATTTGCTACTAGAGTAGAAACAGGTTACTTTAGTTTCAACTGACACAGGAAAATTTCCTTCCTTATTAGGCTAAGAGCTAGTGAAAAGAACCATCCAGACTTTCTCTCCTTGCTCCTATAATGTTCGAACATTCAAGGGTCATAGGCCAACCTGACACACAATTCTTATGCTGGGAAGACTTTTACACACTGACTCCCCACCCACCAACAGGACTTCTGTGATTAAAGTCCACAGCACCTGGTTGGGTAAAATGAATACCAGAACAACAGGTTGCATCCACAAGTGTGCAATGGAAAACTAGGCAAAGATTTACACAGTTTCACATAAAAACACTCAAGTCTCCATACCTTTATAGAGCTAGAGTCTCCGTACACTTCTCAGCTCTAACAAAGGGAAACCTCAAGGCAACAATTCTCAGAATTTCCCCCTTATGAACTCTCTCCACTGTTTTGGAATTCTTTTCCTCAGAGACTTCGCTTTTGAAGGCTTTCTGTCAATCAAGCAGGTCACAATAAAATAATACTTGATTTTCCCCTTTATATTAGTCAAAGTCCCATATAACTGCCAATTAGAAAATCTGAGTAATAAGAGATAACCAGAGATACCGTACCAACATGATACATTTCACCCAAAAGGCTAAAAACTCAAAATTTTCCTTAGCCATGAAATCACACCTGGGTAAATGCATGGACTCTGTCATGTTCTATTATTCTATTTTTTGCTGTTTTGATATATTTTCTTTGTTTGAGTAATGGCAAGTGCTTACCACTTAGTGAGCATCAGGAATTCTGCTAGGCAGTGTACATGCTTTATGTCTAATGCTCTCACTGTACCACATATGGGTATCACACTCATCTCTCTGATGAGAAGGCTAGGTCCCAGAGAGGCTAAGAAACATGTCCCAGAGTAAATATAGAGTAGTGCCTGAGTCCGCATGACTCCAGGTCTGCCTGACTTAAGACCTGCTGCTCTACCCATTATCCCCGTAGCTCTCCTCTTGGGAGACTTTAAAAACCACTGAGGCCAAGTCTTCAGCACAGGTTAGGAGATTTCTTTAAAAACCTCCTTCAGTAATTCTAATGTGCACAGCAGTGGAGGCCAGCAAGTGACTAAAAGAGCTCCTGAGCTCCGGTGCTGCTGTCCCAGATCGCTCGTGGTGAGGAGCGGTCACAGAGTCCATCACACAAGTGAGATCATGTTGCAACCCAGAAAGTGTTCTCACCATTCCATCCATCAATTTCCCAAGGAAACAAACGGTATGTACATGATTTATGTGCAAGGATATTCACTTAGTGTAGCACTGCTTATAGCAGTCCCAAATTAAGCCAAATGCCCAATAAGAAACTACAAAATAAACTAAAGGATGTCATATGATTGTAAAATATACATCTTCAAAAAGTGTAGATTGTTCAAAGAAATGTAAGATTAATCAGAAAGTTTTGTTAACAAGTAATATGCATAGCACAACCCTATAAAATTGTTGATAATGCCTTTACGTGGTTCAAAATTCAAAACACTCTAGAAAATGCATTGAGTGATCTTGTTTCAAACACTGTCTCTATCTCCCTGCTTCTTAAGGTCCTACTTCTGCTTCTTGTGCATCCTTCCAGTTTTAATTTATGCAAATATGAATCTACGCATATAAATGTATACATATCAATACATATTCTCATTTTCTCCCTTCTTACACAGAGATAGTGAATGGTGTACATTATTCTGCACTTCTCTTTTTCTTTAAATGTCCTAGAGCTTTTCTCATGTCAGTGTAGAGGGACAATTCATGGCTGCATGATATTTCGCTGGTGAATGTACAATATTTTATAAACTCAGCTCCCTGTGATAGACCGTTGGCGCATTTCCAAATGCTGAATTATAATAGTGTTTTCTGTCACTTTGAGTGTGTGTATATTGAACATTTTGATAGGTATCGCCAGCTCACCCACTGTATAGAGAGCACCATTTTGTACTTCTACCACACTGTCGGTGAATGCCAAGAGTGTGCCTCAGGTCTTTCTAATCTGATAGCTGAAAAATAGTCTCTCGTCGACATTTTAATTTGCTTTTCTCTTACTATGAGTGAGGAGAAGCATCTTTTCATATATGGAAAATACAAATTTCTTTTTCTGTGAAACATTTGTTCACGTACTTTGACCGTTTCTTCTACTGAATAATAATACCAACATGTATGGCACTCGTTTATATGTGTCTCTGTATTTCTACAGGCATAGGCATACAATAACATGTTCAATGTATAGTAGGAGGGGGAAAAATAAGAGATTACATATTTTCTATTTTCTCTAATCTCTTTAAGGTAAAAAATCATTTATATATTAAAAATAAACAGCGTCTCATTTAAAATAGGGAAAACATTTTTGTTTACTTCTTTACAATCAGATGCAGTTTCTGTGAAATATGTTCTTTTGGAAATCAACTAGAGATTCCCATTTGGAAACACAGACCCACCAGATACAAGAATGGTTGAATTTAATTAGATCTACTCCTTTACTCTCGTGAATTTGATCAGATTGTCTAGGCCCAATCCCTGGCCCCCTACTTAGAGAGCTGGAACTATTTTCATGTTGGGAAAGAGCAGAACAAAAGACGGGAAGATTGCAAATCACTGAGAGCTTTGTGCAGCTGACTTCACTGCCAGGCACTGCTAGGCAGTGTCTTCTGTGGTTTCCAACTTCTGAGCAGCTTCCTTCCGCACTGGGCCTGGGCTGCCCTGACCGAGGCGGCACAGAGAGGGAGAGCACAGGTTGCGGAGGGCACAGCCTGGGTGGCGGGAAGGGGCTGGTGTGGCCGCTGGTGTGTTATTTCTCAGGCTTTTTTTGTGTACATGCTCTGCCAAATGTGGCTGATTCTTGGAAAATTCTCAAACTCAAACCGGCCCCTACTGGTTGGGGTTGTGGGAGCAGTGGCTAAGGTGTCATGAGATAAATTAAGGACAGTTACACCACAACCAGCCTTGCTCACTTTCAAAAGGCAACAGCTAATTGGAGGAAAACATCCATCTACACACATGTGATTGCTGTCAAATATACTCTTAGGCTGTGGGGAGGGGGTGCCCTCCTTTTTATCTACAGCATTTACTCCAATTAGCCACAGTCTTATGCCCAGGACTGTCCAGATGCTGCATCTCAGTCCACTCTT